AATATTTTTAATTACATCATTATATATAAATATATTACATATATCACTAAAAATCTTGGGCAGATTCTGATGTTTTCATTAGTGATGATTAGTGTCTGACCAGGGCTACTCATAAAGCTGTGTTTGGTGTAAAAGGGGCTGCCCTGGGGTTGTGATGGAAGCTAGGCCAAAGCTAGAAGCTTTTCAAAATCCCTTGAAGTGCTTATTTCACTTTCTGGCAACATATTCATCTTTGAGGTCTATATCTGGGTACCAGGTTTCAATGCAAATTATGTCTGTATGATGATAACCTGATGGAGGACAGCTTATTAAACTTCAGTAGAATGATTTCTGATTTACATAGGAGATAAATCAGCCTCCAGAATCCCTAAAACAGGAGCTTTTTTTCTAGCAGTGGCTGTCATTTTAGAAGGAAACTTGACTTTGTGACATAGCTGACAAGGACAGCACAGTTGTTTAACGTTATGGGGTGCATGAGTTCAAGGAGAAGACACTATACATCATGTGCAACTGTGTCATCTGAGTCCTAATATTAACAGGGGGATAAAAGCAATTGTCAGATCACTGAAGTAAGATGAAAAAGACAAATCACCTCAAGGTACCCCAGGATTCCAACACTGGAACATTTGTTTTTTACTTTATTTTAATGTTTTCATTTATTCCTTTTCTGGTGTTCAGTTGGAGAGGATAAAATATCCTTGCAGTGTTAAAACAGTAAGAACTAAAGGCAGGAATATCTTCTTATAGTAAATAGAATGCCCTATATAATTCATTATATTTCTATAGCATTTTTATAATAATGTTTCAGTGACTAATTTAAGGTTCCCTGTAAGCTTGTTCAGGATGTTAAATTAACATCTTGATAACATCTGCTTTGGATTTAAAAAAAAATCTAAATGAGATAAAACAGTTCACATTTTTTTCATTTTTGTCAGTATTTGATTTTACTTGATATTTTAACCCTTAATATTTCAATCATATTATTACTCCAAACTGATCTTTGATACTGTTCAAGTAAAACAGAATATCTTTGTAGCTGTATCTGCTGCCACTAGGAGAACTACAAGACTTCTGAGAAATGGGTATAGACTGTTCAAAGAAATAAAATAGATATAGACAAAAAAGGGGGAAAATGAAAATCAAAGTTTAAAAGAGAGCATTTCAAGATAACATTGGGCGTTAATCTTGAGATAAAGCTGTTCCTGATGTTTCAGTGTGTCATGAACTCTTCAGCTGCCCAGCACCTTTGAACTTAAGTATGGCTTGATTTTCAAAGTTGCACTGCATCTTATATATTTGCCAATAACTTATCTTTCATATTTTATATGCAGAATAGTATTTCTCTTCACATTCATATGACTCCTAGTCACGCAATTTAAGCTAAGGTCATACAGTGCATAAGGAACAAACACAAGAGGAAAGCATATGGGTCTTCTCTGCTTCATATCTGCTAGACATCAGTGTTTGCCTTTGGTCTAAAGATCATGCATGAAAGCAAGCTGACAATTTCTCTTCAAAGTCATCCTTGCTGCAATTCATTTTCAGCCTTCTCAGTCTCCCTTGCACAGTTAACAAAAGATTGCTTTATTATGCAGCTCTTTCTCCTGTTTTTGTATGTATTTTCTGTTTGTCATGTTCAGGGCACCTTCATTTTGTGTCTCACAGAAGCAGAGATGATTACATTAAGTGTGGAAGTCTCTTTTACTTTTGGACAGTAAAACATGTAATTATTTTCCATTATTATTTATAAATTCTAGTGATGTTTTTCTGGTTGAGTGTTAAAGAACCTGGCAAGATCCACTTGGTAACCCAGAGAGCTATGATTACAAGCCGAGTAGGGCTAAATTTGTGTTAATAAAGTGACTTTATGTTGTTCTTGTGAAATGTGTTATCTACTAGCTGTATTACAGCCTCTTCCCTTCTATATAAATCCACAAGAAAAGAGGTAGAAGCTGGAAGGGACTGGAAGATATCTTCAATCCTGTTTAATCATCACAAGTAAAGGGAAGGTATTTGAAATACCCCTGAGGCTAATCCTGACAAATCACACTCGTTCTGAAAGGTAGGACTGATATGTGCAGCTGCCTTACATTAAAGCTCCCACCCTTAGAAAAACCTAAGCGAGTCTGAAACAGTAAGCCTTACATCTAGACTTTGTGAAGTTCATTATCTGGGTGCCCAGTTTAAAGCTCTTAAGGCATACAGATATTGCAGTGGTGAGGATTATGTAGACAATTTACTGGCTAGAAGGTTGAATCTGTTTCTCAGGATGGGAATGCTGAATTAATGATAACTTCAAAAGTGTATACAACTTACCTTCCAGACAGGCATAGCTCTCCCTTTCATCTGTCTTCCTTTTCCCTTCATGTGTTCCACCTCAGAGCCTCTCATGCTGCTACTGGGACTGGAGGGGAAGGCCTCATCGCCTATTTTCATAAGCTGAAACAGCCATACGGATTTCCAGCTGAAAGTGGCATATCACAGAAGGCACCATGCTGTATAGGCCAGCTGCTCCCCAGCTCTGTCCTTTCTCTCCATAGGTTCCCATTCCCCAAAGTAGCCATTGCTTGACCTGAGTTGTGTTGGAGCATGTATGCACATGTTAGTTTGGTAGAGCGGTTTTTGGGCAGTGGGCTGCCTTTCTCAGAGACACTCATAGGTGTGATAGCGATGCTGTGTCTGCCAATCCATTTCTGCGGGCACTGGCTTGTTCTGCTCCACCCAATGCCACCTAGCATGCAGGAACATCTGTCCTTGTTTTTGCAGCCATTAGAACAGTGATTAAAGATGAGGTTGCATTTTCCAAGTCACATACATTTCTCCAGAGGATAAATCAATGTTTTGTTTGACTTAGAAACAAACCCAACATTTTTCTATACTAAACTTCTCAGTTTTTGGAGGAGAATTCCGGATTGGAACCCTTGTAGTCACATTGACTTGAGGGCTTTAAAAATGCGTTATATTTCACGTGTATGTGGTGGCTTTGGAATCTCTACAGGATTTCCAGATTGCTCTGCAACCCTAGACAACCATTAAAGGATAAACTGTTCTTCCTATTGTACCAGTTTCTCAGTAGTCATCTTTTGCCTTTACTTTAAACATTCCTGTCTGATACAAGAATTATGAAGAATTTTTGCTAGCCTCAGCCTTAAAACAATCCTTCATCTTATTTTGTTCTCCCTTCTTTTGTCAGAGAAAAAGCCATTGAGAGAGAATAGGGCTCTTCACTTTTGGCCATACAATAACACTCAAAATTCAACCATGTGACAAATTGCTGGGATGTGATTCTTGTGATTTCCTTGCTGTAAAGTAGTGTGTAAAACTCTGCCTCCACCGAACATATTTTCCAGTGAGGAAAGCTCTGAACAGCTTATTCCCAGCCTCTCTGTGCTCTTCACTCACTTCTGCTTTATTTAGAAATACCTCAGTACACCTTTTGCCTCCTCCTTGTATCTATCTGCCTTTTCTGCACCCATGCCTAGGACTTGCTTTGAATCCTATTCTTTCCTTTCAGGTTCTTCCACGTCTGTCCACTTGCATATCCCTAATCATCTCCTCCAAGTACTTTATGACAGATAAGTTAATGTCCTACTGCCTCTACAACGTAGGCATCAGCATCCAAGTGTGGTCTGAGAGGTGCTTCCCTTGATCTTTTCCTGCCTTGGTTGGGCAGGACCCATCTTTCTTTTCTTCTACTCGAACAGCCATGTGCTGATTCCGTATTTGTCAAGGCAAATTAACAAAATCTGCTTTTCCTTTGTTTAAGCATGTAAAACCTGCTGTAAAACACTAGCAGGTAAAACGGAAGACTTGTGGCCTTTTTATTTTGTTTTCCTTTGCTAGCCTAGCTGTGAGCCACTGAGAGCTTACAAGAGAGACTTGTTATAGTGGTGTAACCTGGGGCTTGCTCTAGTAACCTGGTGATCTACTGACATCAGTTGCTCCCGTGAATTTTTTTTAATTATTATTTTTGATAGAATACCTTCCCTACAAAAGCCCTTGAAAACAAGACCTAGCTATTCTGCTTTTGCTTTTGTTATGGCTTCAGTTTCAGCCTGCTTACCTATCTAGCCCTTGTTGCCTCTGTTTATATCTCTGTGCACCATATATTGATGTTTGTCTAATGAAATGCTGCTCTGGAAGATTTATGGGTTTACATTAATAGAATAATTAAAGGTCCTTGAAAGTCTCAGATGAAATGTATAACAGGTCAGGGAAAAAAGAGAGAGAGGAAGTGAGAGATGAGAGGTGATCTGTCTGTGCCAAGGTCTGTGGCTCTGTCTATCCCATGCACCTCTGTGTTGGGGAGGTGCATGGGTGGGAGAGGCAGCCAGGGCGCAGGGCCGTGGGGAAATGGCACCTAGGGTGGACACCCTGCAGTACCGGCAGGCTTTGTCTGGGCTGTGCTCTGTCTTTATCCAGCCTCTTGCCCCCAGGGCTGCCCCAGGGGAATTTGGGGGACCTGAAGGAGGGGAGGGCAAAGATGCTAGGGAGGAGAGGCAGCAGCGGAAAGCCCACATCCAGCGTGGGGACTAGACTGCAAGCACATGCTGCTTTCTGCATTGTGGGGGAGGAGGGAAAAAAAGCAGAAAAGGCTGAGGGAGAGGGGGCAGCCCGGGGGAAAGTTTGAGTGGCGGCAG